TGATAGCACACATGGGAATGGTTTGAAGCTGTGCCAGGGGAAGTTCATACTGGACATTAGGAAGTATTTCTGTAGTGAGAGGGTGGTCAAACCATGTAACAGACTTCCTAGACAGTTGGTCAATGCCCCAAGCCTGTCAGTGTTTAAGAGGCATTTGGACAATGCCCTTAACGACAGGCTTTAAATCTTGGTCAGCCCTGAAGGAGTCAGGCCGCTGGACCAGATGATCATTGCGGGTCCCTTCCATCTGAACTATTGCATTCCATTCTAAATTGTTTCTAACTGACTAAGATATTAGTCATATTAGTCATTATATTATATCATAAATAATAAAGGCAAAATAACTGTGTTCTGCTTAAACCCCGTATCAGTCCAATAATTAACTGATGCCTTATCCAGTATCTTCTCATTTCATTATTTTTTTTTTTTATAGTTAGGGGAAAAATGACAAATACTTTCAAACCAGAATTAGGGCCCTTTGGTTGGCTTGTACTGAGAAATGCAATGCTATTTTTTGTGTAACAGTTGAGGCCAAGCACAAACTACATGCAGGAAATGCTCTCTGATGCTGAGAGTCAGTGCAACTCCTACTCTGGGCTAAAAAGATTTGAAGAGAGCAGTTGTGGAAACACTTCTCTGGCACAATGACTGTGGACAAAATAATGTTAGTTTCAACTTTAAGTTTGCTGAAAGAGTTGTGTTAGGATAGTGCATTTCCAATGCAAAGATGGTTTCATGTGCATTAACCTGGAGACACTGTGGAATCTTGGCTGAGATCTACTGCCTAGATCAGAGATGAATCCTGACATTTTGATACTTGTTGGTCTGAAATGCAAAGGAAAGCATGATAAATATAACAGGAAAATGTCACATCAGTTTTTTCATAAACCTTTTTTTTCAACTTGCTATAGAATATCAAACTGTTAACAATTAATGAGATAAAGTTATAGGGAATCCTGTTAGTAAATATTCCTGTGGGATAAGACACCAATCACCTCCAGTTCTGAATTGTGGTAGAGATTGTTGTATATGTTTTTATAGTCTATTTCTTTTCCATAATTGTGTTTCTTTGTTGTTGTTTGGAAGAAACAGAAGACATATGAAAGCCCCCTGATTTCATCTAAAATTAGCTTCAAAAGCATATATTACAGCCATTTCCACTCTGGAACCTGAGGGGTGCAGCTTCAGTTCCTTGTGTTTGCAGATTTCATGATTGAAATAGGTCACTATGCAAAGATTGGTATAGAAAGACTATTAAGAGATTTGAGGTGGAAGTTGGTTTTGTGCATGCAGTGGTGCAGAAGTGTGTAATGCCAGTTAGCAGCTCACTGAAAACCTCAAGGTTTGCACATGACAGTTCTCTCACAGGTTTATACAATATTAGGAAAAAATGCCCACAACCCTAAAATTTCAGGAAGCATATAATTTTATAACTAGTAGATTATTTTTTCTGTGTAACTTGTGCTTTTATTGTTTGGCAGGAACTCATTTCCACAGATGCAGAGGAGAGATTCTTCCTGGGATCTCCCCTTAGAGGGATTAGCCATTTTTGGTGTCACTTTCCTCAGTAAACTTTCCATGGGTCTGTGGTTTGCAGAAAAGGGGACAGCCACGATTGTCCTTCTAGTAGGAAAAATTTAGTTCTGCAGTTACATTAGGTCTTAACCTTCTTCCAGAGTTTTGAATCCTGATGCCAATTTGGAGATGCACCTAGATCTTGTGCTCCTGGTAGATCCTGCTACATCTCAAAAGGGCAGGGAATCTGAGTTAACCTCTCCTGGCTGGGGTTACTGGGACAAGGAGGCATTACATGCTTTTCTTCATCATAAGACTTCATTCTCTCTTGGATTCTCACCCTGCATGATCCAGGGTTGTATCACATCAAGAAAGTACAAAGTGCTTCAAACATATAAAATAAAGGTATCTACTCTGAAGAGCTCACTAACAAGAGAGTAAGCTCAGGATGAAAATGTAGGGAGCAGGGGAGCAGTGCAGGAAGTATTATAGTACCAACCAGGATATGAAACTCTCAGGTTCAACAGAGCATTGGTTCAGCACTGTAGAAAAATACATGTACATAAAAATATTTTATATGTGTAACAACTTCTGGTATGATTTATGAGCACTTAAAGCAGATGAACAGAACAGAAGTAGAGCAAGCCCTCACCAAATGACCTCCAGCTTATTTGGCCTGTGCTCTGTGTAAATCTCGACAGATGACAACAGATGACACTTCTTTCATGAGTACAACAAACTGGAGTTCAAGGCGAGTGTGGTTAACTCCCAAATGTGGCTGTTTATCTGAAATGTATCTAAGCCTCTTAAATTTGCAGCAATGAGCTGGAAATCTCTCAGCACCAGGTCTTCCTTCTAGAATGGCAGGGATAAAACCATCAGTGTTTTTTTCTGTCATAAACTGTACCTGTTTTTAAACTCCAGACACTTACCTGTGAACTCAGCAGATAAAGGCAGAAAAAGAATAGAACAAAAATTTTTCCATACTTAAAATGCACCGTGTTCAAGCTTTCTGTGCATGACACATTTATGCATCCATGTCCAAAATTAGGTATGAATGCTTCAGGGAAGCATCACTGTATGCTGACAGTGCCTGTCACAGCCCAGGGAAAACACTGTGTGTGGCTCCTTCCACACCCAGCCAGCCTCCTTGCAGAAAATCCCCTTTGCCTTTGGAGAGCCTTGTTCAATGCAAAGGGGCTTCTGCGGGACAACTGCATCTTTTGTTGCCTGTGCAATGTGGCCAGAGCCTTTGTCGAGGCCAGTCTGCACTCTTTTTTCCCCAAATTCTAGGGTTCATCCTCTACCCCTTTCACCAGTGTATTTATATCTGGTCATTGTATCAGTGCACTCCCCTTATCCACATGTAATTTGATGGAGCACGTGTTGGAGACAGTAAACTTGTAATGGTTTTCAGCAGAGATGGACATAAGTGTATTAGGGACAAATGCAACAAAGCTGTATTCATACTGTATTTCAACAAAGGTGTTCTGTGTCCCAAATCTGTGCATAAGGAGAGACTGAGGGCATTTAAAAGTATACTAAATAATGTGTATAAAAGCAGAAACAGTCTTCTACTCAGGGAGCTGGACTGATGTTTGAGCTGTTGTAGTGGTAATGTGTGAAAAACCCTAGTGGACTAGACTTTGAAAAATAGTGCTAACTTTGGCATTTGCTCCAAATACTTTTGGAAGAGGATCGTTCAGAAAGGATGCTGTTAAGTGAAACTGGACCCTAAGTCAGATCACATTATATGGAACATTTTTTACAAATTCTCATCTAAAGAGATTTCCAAAAAATGATTATTAAAACATAACATTTTGCTGCTGTTAACAGCCTAACCATTATAGGAGTAGCCTGAAAGTGAGGGAATAAAAAATTTACTATTGGTAACAAAACTGCCTCAAATATGTTATTCACAGTCCAAAAGGAGAAATGCAAATACTGTATATTTATAGTCAGCCCTCAGAAACTGGGAAAATGAACAGTGAATTAGCTGTTTTCTTTCTTCTTTTTATAACTGGAAATATTTTCCCCCCTTAAACACTTGGAGGTCAGTGCTCCATGTTTGTATTGAATATTTTCTTAAACAACAACTGTTGACTGCAGCAGGATGTTATGTAAGTAGGAGCAACATGACTTGATTCATGGCTTTAATGTTTGACACTGTTCCTTTAATGCTCAGCAGTACATGTGTGTCCACAGTGTTCAAAGGTAGTTTGTGTATATGCATCAGTTGAATACATTTTTAAACCAAAGAGGATTTTGAAAAGGAAAGTGCTACAGTTCTGCTTCTATTGATGAGGAGATTAAAATTCCCAGTGGGAGCAGCCTTAGGCCAATGCTGAGCGGTTGTGAAGAACTTGCCTGGTATTGGAAACACTCTTAAGATGATATCACTGTCTCTCCTTATTTTTGTTAAGTGTTAAATACCACAGAGCTAGTGGCCTCATCTTGAGTGAAGAAAGCCTTTCTATGACAGCAAGGGCTGGCTATGTTTAGTTTGCTGAACACAGCTGACTAAACCATAACTCCATAGATATGGAGAAGATGACTGCACTCCCTGTCCGTTTCTGCCGTTATTTATGAGACTCTCTGGTGTATTAGTTGAGTGGTGTTTTCCGTAAACGTGAAAGAGAAACGATGGGTAGGTAGTTTGAAACTTGAGGTAAGTTTGGTGGAATTCCCCTCTGTTCCTTGACAGTCTTGCGTGTCTTGGATACATCACTTCACTTATGTGTTCTTCAGTTCCCTCTCTGTTAAGCAGGAGTAATACATCTCATACAGCAAAGTCCATGGCTATGGGGTAAATTTGTTCAGGATGGTGCAGTGATCAAATTCTTATGTAATGCAGGACAAGTAAGTGCCTCAGACAAACTGGAAATGAGCATTACACACTGGCAGCTGCAAGCTAATCACACAGACTTACTCCATTTAGAAATATGATGCAGACCAGGAAAAAAGTAGAAGGGGCTTGAAGACATGGTCGTCTCAAGCTATCTCACAAAAGCCAGTGGAAGGCAAGTATTTTTTGGGGCTGAGACATCTCTGGCTAACATGATTACATGCTGTAATGTGAGAGCTGTTGGGAGGCCATCGCAATAAGCTGGTGGCTGAGTGTCACGTGAGACACTGTAGGCTTCTGAGGTGGTCAGCCCCATTTGCTTCATTACATTATCTTTGAGAAATGGCAGGGAATTCGGAAATAAACAAGCGGGCAGCCCTGTTGCTGTGTCTGGCAGTATTGAGCTGCGGTGGTGTGTTTCAAATAAGAAACTATTTCATGTGTACTCAGGGATTAGTCTATGGGGCTTTATACATTCTCCTTTCACAGATGGCAGTGCCAGTAGGAAATATTACTATTGTTTTAAAACTCTGGTAATCACTTGCTTTCATGCCTTTGAAAGTATAAACAGCCTCTTTCAGGGGTTTACATGCCACGGTTGTATTACTCATACTGTGTTTCTTGCTTTGTTTGCCGGTAGAATACATACACCAATGCAGACAAGCTTTTGGAGGCTGCAGAGCAGTTGGCTCAGACTGGGGAATGTGACCCTGAAGAGATCTATAAAGCAGCCCGGCATCTGGAAGTACGGATTCAGGATTTTGTCCGGAGGGTGGAACAGAGGAAACTTCTCTTGGACATGTCAGTCTCCTTCCATACCCACACCAAAGAGGTAAGATGCGCATGAGGGAATTTTACTGTGTGTTGTAGGGTGCTGCAAGAGGCTGACTTTGAAAGCTCAGATCACAGAGAAAAGGCATCTTCACCAGACAGGGCTGATATTATCTAGTTCATTTCATGCAGATGACTAACTGTTGTAACAAGGAAGTAAAATGTGAATTAGACATATGAGTGTTACACTAAAATACAGGGGCAGCAAATCAAGTGGTACTTAGTTCATGACTAGAATGTGTTGTTAGAAAGTAAGAATTCTCTTGTAAGAACATGAGTTGATATTAACACATTAGGAATCAGCATGCCAGTAGCGTGATATGTATCCTCAGAGGGATTCCATTTGAATGTAATGTTAATTAATTTAGCCATTATTATTATGTGTTACTGGAAATCTTACATTGTTTAATGAGTTAGACTTGACTTTTCAAAGTAACTCTTAAAGAGCAAATAGTCACATACTGAAACAGTGAATCAGTGGGGACCTGAATAAATGCTGTTTAGTGTAATTGAGAAATATCCAGAGATAAGGCTGTCTTGCCAGAGATACAGTGGACAGGACATCAAATGGGAGGCCACTGGGGATGTAATTAAAGCATACTTCAAATTTTTCTGCAGGCCAGAGGCCATTCAGTGGTGAGTGACTTTTATAAATAGGGTTTCTGCTGAGAGAGAGATGGAATTAGTCAAGATGGTTGTTTTCATGCTCTGCAGCATCTGTTTGCACAAGCACTCTTGATCATGCCTGTGTTTGTTGATTTACATGTTACAAACCAGTTGTGTATAGCAGGCTTCAGTGTGTTGGGGAGCCTCCTGAAGTAGAGGGTGTGTGCACATGTTCATATTTACGTATGTGGAAGATGGACTTATACCATGTCTACTATAGCTGTTGGTACATAAAGGTTTTTCTTTTACATTCTGCTTCTGCAATATACTCAAATATAGTTAACTTTCAGCTTGTGAGTACTGCTGTTGTTTCCAAAGTAGCTCAAATGTTTGCAGTTATGCTGGTTTGCCACTGGGGAAACTTAATTGGTTATTTCCTCAGTAAAAATTATTTCTTAACAGTTTCCTACTGTGATTAACCTTGCTTCACCTATGCAGGTGATGAGTAGTCAAAAAAAAAGATAGGCATGACTCTAGGAAGTTTTTGGTGTAAATAATATGTGTTCTATCATCAAAATTTCTTCTGATAATTACTGGTACTGTGTAGCCTAATTTGGGTTTGGGAAGTAGAGCTTCGTTACATTAAGGGTTTGGGATTGCAGTGCATTATACTCACTCCTGTCTGTCTTCAACAAGAAGGGAGTTTGCCTGCTCCAAACACCTGGTTTTAATGAGCTCTGTTTTGGTGAATAGAAGAGCAGATGTATAAAAATGAACATTTTTTGAAAATTGTTTTAAAAACCAGTCTTTTGTGATAGCATCAATGCTGTTTCATAAGGTGTTGAGAGTAAATGCTAAATCTCTTCCTCATAAGCGTTTACCCATGGGACAGATTGGTGCTGTGATGCCTTTTTGGAAAGTTCAGTAATTGCTTCATGTCACTTTTAAGGAGATCCAGAGTGGACAAACTCTGGGTGCCTCTCTCCTACAAAGGTCCCTTGCAACCCAAACTATTCTATGGTTCTATAATTCTCTCTCCAGAGGGCCAGTCAAGGGAGCTGTAGCATAAAACTGGGGCATCAGCAAAGTCAGGGTGGACACAGGAATCCATGTCCATCAGAATGAATGAAGGGTGGACACAGGAATCCATGTCCATCAGAATGAATGAAAGCCGTTGGGTTGGGTTGCTGAAGTTATTGCAGTCTCAAACAGTTCCCCAAAATCTGAGGATGCCCAGTAGCTCTGCAAGAAGAAGGAAGTTTTTGTTTACTTATTTCTGTGTTACTTCATTCCTGTGGGGACCAAACACTGATTTTCTGGAGGTTCAATGAATTTCACTGTGTGTCACTACCTGCTTCCTTCAGGGACATGTTTCTGCACTGGTGGGAGTCAAGCAACTCAATACCTCATTTCTTTTGCCAAAAATAACAAGTGAGGAAATTGCTGTGGTTTTAGTGTTTGTCTGCCAGCCGTAGGGATCCCCACAGACACAGTGAAGTAACAGCATACTGCCAGGGATGAACTGGTACAAAGGGCAAAGCATTACAACAAGAGAGCCTTAGCACATGTTTGGATCTGTATTTGCCTTTTTAAGCTATAAATAGATGGGCTCAAGTAGAAATGACGCATTGCTTGGCCTTGCTTGGCTCTTCATGTATATTGTGAAATATGCATGAGTATACCATGTATACATACCAAGGTAATTGTCATTCCTCAATACTAATAAAAAACAGATACACATTTAAATAATAACAGATAGAGGGAGGCCCTGCAGACCTCAGCAAATTAGAGAACTGAGCAATCAGCAGTTGTATGAAGTTCAACAAGGGGAAGTGACGGATTCTGCATCTAGGATGGGACAACCCTGGATATACGTACAGACTGGGGTAAAACAGTGCCAGGAAAGGAACCTGGGGTCCTGGTCGATGGCAAGTTGAATCTGAGTCAGCAGTGCCCTGGCAGCCAGGAGAGCCAACCATGTCCTAGGGGACATCAGGCAAAGCATCGCGAGCCAGTCGAGAGAGGGGATTGTCCTGCTCTGCTCTGCACTGGGGCAGCCTCACCTTGAGTATTGTGCGCAGTTTGGGGCAGCACAATATAGGAAAGATATTAAGCCATTGGAAAGTGTCCAAAGGAGGGCCGTGAAGATGGTGAAGGGCCTTGAGGGGAAGCCGTGTGAGGACTGACTGAGGTCGCTTGGTCTGTTCAGCCTGGAGAAGAGGAGGCAGAGGGGAGACCTCATTGCAGTTACAACTTCCTCAGAAAGGGAAGAGGAGGGACAGGCATTGATCTCTGCTCTTCAATGACCAGTGACAGAACCCAAGAAAAGGGCCTCAAGTTGTGCCAGGGTAGGTTTAGGTTGGATATTAGGAAAAGTCTTTTCACCCAGAGGGTGGTTGGGGGCTGGAACAGCTCCCCAGGGAAGTGGTCACAGCACCAAGCCTGACAGAGTTCAAGAGGCGTTTGGATGATACTCTTGGGTACATGGTGTGGCTCTTGAGGATGGGCTAAGGGTTGGACTAGATGATCCTTTTAGGTCCCTTCCAACTCAGCATATTCTGTGATTCTGTTTTTTTGGCCCTAATGCAGGGAACTATGGCCTAGATGTATTTCTCATCTAAGTTTCACGAATTCTCATTTTTTAATGTTGTATTAATATATTGAGACAAAACTGGTTAAAGAGAGAATTAAGTAGAAAGAATCTGTCTTACTGACACTGTTTTTATGGAAGTATTCTAAATATCTTCCTACAATGAACATGTTTCTTCTGACAGTCTTCCTATCACAGATGAATTGTGTTTCTGATGTGGTAATTCTCAGGTGTGGATGAATTCATTGATTGTGAACTTCTCACTGCTTCACCTGTACTCTGCCCAGCTCTTCATCTCCACATGAGGCTGCTCAGATTCCCAGCACCTGAGAAACTCTTAACAGCTCCTATTTTTGAAAAGTGATTTTGTCAAAGAAATATTTCCTTTTGTAGTCTGTCTTCCTAGAATTTCTTCACCATTAGGGAGTCATTTAAATGCAGATATCCCACGGGTAATGAAAGTTAAGCATGTTTTTTTTTTATAGTACAGTGGACTTGAATTACTGCTCAGTTCATATGAAAGCATTATAAGAGGATTCCTTCTGCTAAACACTTACTTATACAGTTGAAGGAATATGAAAAATAAAGTCATTTAAGCATAACAATAATTTTGATATTTTTTTAAGTGACCTTACTTAACAATAAATGCAATAGGCTGAAACAAGGACTTTCTGGTATGGTAATAACATTTTAGAGTCATAAATTTAGAGCAGTTCCCTAAGTGATTGCAAGTGTCATAACTCATGAGTGATGTAGTTGTCCTACTACCATGCCTATAAAAGAGTTTTTGTGTGTCCCACTGTCCTACAGTATTCATTACGCTCTTTTAGCCTGTAGTCAATGTTTTCGTGCCCTTTTAGACCAAGGTATTCCTGATGGTGCACACAGAAACCTGATACCTTGGGGATCAAATCCAATTATCTGGATGGCAGGGTAAAGTTATAAATTATTATCACTGGCATAAATGCATTCAACAGTCTTGTACCTGAATAATTTCTCTCAGGATTAAGTGTGATTGAATTCAGGTTTTACTTCAGATCTGAATAAATTATTGGCAGGATTGTCAGATCTTACACTTTTACCACAAATCTCATGGTAGTTGAAGTTTTTCTGTGAGCTTTCAGCTGCTATGATCAAATGATGATACAGGGTTCTTGGCTGGCATTTGATTTTGTTTAAAAGAAAATAGTTTTTGAGCCTCTTGGAGAAGAGGTTGCAGATGTGATGAAATCACACCCTGAAGACTCAAAAACCTCAAGGCAAACAATAAAAACATCTTGTAATTCATTGTCTGAATCTTAATAATTTAGTGTCTCACAATTTTATACTTAAGATTCTGAAGTGTACTTTACAATTCCAAGTATTAGAATGTAGACAGGAAACAACACTGTCACCATTTCCATATCATTAAAAACTTTTAAAATACTCTTGCTTAATTAAATGATGATTTAGGTTTGTTTTGTTACTTGTTGTATTGGCTGATAATGCAGTTGCTAACTTAAGAAGAAGAAGGAACTTCACTGAATTTGAATCCTTCTAAAGCATATTGGTCTTAACTGAACCACAAAGCAGTTCTGCAATTGTTTCGTAGCTCTTTGGGGCATGAAGAGCATGTTCTACCACTTCTAGGCTTCTCATTTCTCTGTGGGCTTCAGATTTCCACTTCTGTGTTGAGTCCAGCAGGAAAAAGCCAGAGAGGCAGAGTAGTATGGTTTCAGGTCATGTGCCCTGTGCTTTGTTGGCCCTCAGTGGGTCAGAAGAGCTGGATGAGGTGCTCAGGGCTTCCAGCTCCATGTGGAGCCTGC